GTGTGTGTGTGTGTGTGTGTGTGTGTGTGTGTGTGTGTGTGTGTGTGTGTTGTTACATCAATACCTTAAGCTAAGTGAGCAGAAAAACAATATAAATGATCTATAAGCAGGTGATACTACTTTTGGTGCACAGTGTTCGTTATAGTGATGCTTGTAATGTTTCAATGTATTAATTGATGCATCTTTGATTATTTTGTTTATGTTTTGTGTTTTTAACACATTTTGTAAATGCTTTCTAGCAGAATAAGCGTGTATAAATGTGTGAGCTGTGTTGAACGGAGACAGCTGCAGCTGACGGCTCATTACTGGAGCTTATAGAGACGTTCGGGGAGTGAGGCAGCCTATTAGAAAACTATTTGGTGAGCTTTTAGCATTTATTGGCTGTTGCTGATGGTTTAGGATTTGCAGTTTATGCCTTTTGAAATGTTATTTTTCATTTGTGGATTTATTTTTTCATGAGACCTTGCAGCTCATAACCACTCACAGTTCCAGCAAGACAAACTAAAAGGCAGAAGGGTTTGGATTGTAATGAAATGTTTGGTATTCTTTTCAACAACTTGGGGGGGGTTGGATTACTGCTGACTTGAATTTTTTCCAACTGAATAATTTGTTCCTGGAAAAAAAAAAACAACGATTTCAGCAGAATCCCCTTCATTTTTTCAAGTTACATTTGATGGCCTTTCATTGTGTTTGATACTTAAAACTGTGTTTTATGCGCTGTTGGACTGAGTTAATTAGAAATGTTCCAAAGCAAACATAACCCCACAATGTTCAGTTATCATCTTCTCTTTATTGGAATTTCCATAATTGACTTCATGCTCTCTTATTCAAACAACATGTTAATCACTGCTCATGACCTCAATCATGACTAAATTCTCCACTAATTGCATTAATATTAAGACGGTTAGTTAATTTATCTGTTTGCAATTAATTAAAACAAAGCAAATTACAGTTGGCATAAAATTAATATGTCTACCCTGACTCATCATTTTTTTTCTTTGTAATTTCCTCCCATGAATCAACTGCTCTGTCAGTGATCATTTATTGATCATAAGAATAGAACAGAAGGACCACATGTGATGGAATCATGTTTGTTTTTACTGGGATCTTTTCTGGTGTAGCTATAGGCTGTTGGATCAATAAACCATAATGGGACCAAAAGTTATATTGTAGTAAGAAGGAAGGGGATTTCTGAAGTATTGGTTAAGATTGTGAGCTTTGGTTAAGTTAAAGTTAGAGTTTGTTCGGGAAAAAGTCATTGAAACTCAATGAAATGTCCAAATGGGAAAAAAGCTATACAATCGTGTGTGTGTGTGTGTGCACGCGCGCGTGTGTACTTGCTATTGTTACCTTTTTTAGGACAGTTTCTGGTGTATACACCTTGTCAAGACCAGTAGTCCTAATGGGGACCAAAGACCAGTCCTAATATGGTGGAACCCCATTTTTGGGTTGGGGGTTTTGTTTAGGACTAAGGTGTGAATTGAGTTTAGGTTAGTTTTAGGGTCAGGTAGGTACCTGTGAGGTTAGTTTTAGGGTAAGTGTTCAGGGTTAGGCTATAGAAAGTACTAGAAATGAATGAAGTCAATGACCGGTCCTAATAAGAATAGAAATGCAAACTTGTGTGTGTGTTTGTAAATGATCTGGCTCAGAACATCAGAAAGAAAAAGATGGAAAAGAGAAACCAGCTGGTCGATTCTTTCCTCCAGCTACCTTATTAAATTGGCAAATACAACATGTTGGTTTGTTCCACTGACTTAATGATAGAAATAGAGAAAAAATTATGAAGAACAGAGGGAAATAAACTAACTAAGATAGATCAAGCTGAAAACAAAAGAGAGAAGAGACACTGACTAAAAGCCAGAATATTTTTGACTGAACAGCCTCATGAATAATAAACTCCTTATTTTTTGTACAACAGTACAAACCAGACATTCATTTTACCCTCTGTCCACTGACTCCATCCAAAGCTGACTGCTGGCCCTGGAAAGCTCGACTACAGCTGGCAATTTAGTGTGGAAATTTAATGGGTTTTATTCAACTGTTGCTTTCAGATGTTGAATCATAGCCTCAGGGGGATTCCTAAATGTAAATAATCATGTATGCACAGGAGGCAATAAAACACAGCCCAAAAAGGTCATTTTAGATTTATTCATATTTGCTTTTATTAAGCTAGTCAATTTTTGATTTCCTTGAATAAATAAAGGTCAAAACGGTCAACTGATTAAGAGCCAGAGGGAGGGAAGAAGATTTAAGAAGGAAAAACAATTGTTATAGACAACAGCTAAAAAGCATGTCAGTGTGTCGACCTGTGTGACCAAACATTTTTGTGAGAGATTTTGTCATTAACATAGTTATTAATTTATTGTAAAAACATGTCAGATAATCTGTGAATCAGATCTGGTTCAGATGCTGTTTATCTATTAGTTTCTATGGAGGCTGTGAGCCGTTGCTCTGTTTGGTCTGTTTCTGCTCCTCCATGATGTCACAGACACTACCAGTGGACAGGATGGGCAAAGCCTATGTTTGCTTACAGTAATGGTGTTTTCCATCTGGCTACCTTTTGGCTGCTAAAACTTTAGATTTTGTTAATAGTTTAAAGAACCAAAGTCAGTCAGTGGAACTGTACTGTGGCTGTAAGTATTTATGTGTTTTAGCCACTAAGGAGAGTTGTGATTTAAGAAGAGGATGATAAAACACTCAGTAGACCTCTAAAAAAAATGTATCCCCTCTCGTCTGAGATGATGGTTATGCCCTTGAATAAAGGCACCAGCAAAATATCTGGTTATCTCCTGTTTTTGTTAAACTGTCTGCTGGAGCTCTTGTGCTGCACAGAGAGGCTGCCTGTCACTGTGAACGTGASTTGAGATCTTCTCCTCATTGGTCAAGTCCACGAGGTGGGTCAGGTGACTGAGATGGTTGCGTAATGTCAAGCGTCGCTTTTGTGAAATTGTAGGAAACTTCCCTCCATCTCAAAGTAGTGGGTCTTGTTTACCAGATTATACTGATGCGTTTTGTTTTTATAGCACAATGTGAAGGAGTGTCATTGACAAGAGGACATATGTATTTGTAGTTCTATGTGCATTTATACATCAAAATACACTTAGAATTTGAAGTATTGAGTATATTTACTATATATTGCAATAATTTTCTCTGTATTTTGCCGGACTATGGTAATCCTGGGGTCGTAATGATGGGGCCCTTGACTATTGTTGCCCAGGGTACAGCCAAGTGTTAATCCAGCCCTGGGAACAGGTTAAAATGATGAATGGAGGGATTGAAGGGAACTGTAGTGAGGATGTAAGAACGGATAAACGATGGGTGATGGTCAGATGTTAAGGCCTGGAGGCGGGGGGTGGGGGTGGTTAGAATGAGACGAGCGCTGATGATGTAAGTGATCATCATGCATCTGTCATTAGCGTAGCAGCAGACTGAATAAAAAAAAACAAGGAAAGTTCCTCTTTGTGCAAATCCTCTGCTTTAATACTGTTGCAGTTTCAGTGGCAATGAGACATGTTGCCTTTTTCAGTAAAAAAAAAAGGTAAATCAAAACAACAGCCATACAGTACATCAATGGATTAAACAATTTCATGCTGTGAAAAGTGAACTGCTTAAAAGCTTTATGTTAACGCTACAACACTTTTTGTTCTGAATTGAAATATACTGTAGACTTAAACTTAAGCCACTTGCAATAAAAAATGTTACAGACAGAAAAAATAAGCTAAAACACTTTTTGTTTACTGAGGGTAGGTAATATTTTAAACTCAAGTCTATTCTCTCTTTTCATACATGTATAAATAGGATTTTGGCATCAAACTCTTATAGGTTTCATTCTGTTTCATGCATTCCCAATCCTTGTGGCACAACGTCCTAAATACTATTTTTATCGATAACATTAACAGCAGCTAATATACACAAATGATTGATTTGTCAAGCAGGATAACCAGGACTGGGTGACGGGCTTTAAAAGTGAAAATAAAATAAACAATTATTAAGACTCAGATGCACAATATACAGAATGTACACATATCTTTTTATTTTTAAATTGATAATAAATATACCTGTGGCACCGATAAATACAATGAGATGGAATCTTCAACCGAAAGGAAAAATAAAGCACTTTTTTTCTTTTTTTGGCAGTGAGTAAGAAACTTATTTTAAAAAAGGATTTTTTTTTTTTTTCAAAAAAAATGGTGTGTAAATGGGAATAGCTGGGGGCATTTATAATGCTTTTGGCACCAAAATCAAAGTAAATGTCACTCATGTTTTCAAATTTGTGAGTTAAAGACAGAAATCAATTGTGTTGCTGCATAAAAAATACTGACTTGACTAAGTGAACTGTGTCACATGGGTCTGCTGGAGAACTAAAGTTGTAATTCCAAGAACGTGCAGTCGAAGTACACCTTAGAAATAAAAGGATGATGAAGTTTAGGAACACATTTTGCTTTCTGGCTTTTCTCATCACTTCTTTCAAACTGCAGCCAAGAAATGAACTGGTCAGAGAACATCTGGTAAATTATGCCGACATCTTTGAAACATTTACGGTTCTATTCCGTCCACCTACGAGCACGAACAAACGAGGCGGTCGGGTGAAATCCTATAATTAACAGGAACGTTGGCAGAAAGGTGAGAGCGTCTCAGCTGTTTACGGAACACGCTGGTGAACGCGCTGACGGCGGGTCGTGGAGGTGAAGCTAACCGTGAGGGATGGGACGATTATTGCTGAAGCTATAGCTGCCTGATGGGGGGCAGGTTGAGGGTCTCCAGAGCGCTGTGGTAGAGTTCCCTCAACGCTCTTAACAAATAGAGACGACAAAACATCTGGTTGAAGAGATGAGGCAATGGTTCCTGGAGGGGAGAAAAACAACATGAATAGAAATGTTATTATTGTTTCAATCTTAAACATGAAATCTAAGTAAAATATTCTCACAGAAACGTAAAAACAAAACCCTCCTGTAGTTTAAATTGACATTATTTACTGTATTTTATTCAACTCATGTAATATCTTCTATTTAAACATGTAAAAATATGAACATGTTCTCACCCCGAGCACATGGACTCTGTTGTAGTACGAACTGAAGTCTTTACTGAGAGACACAAGAAACTTACAGATCTGAAGGACACAAAAACTAACGTTAGATAAAAATAAATCTGTAGCAACTGGCTGTGTTTGGTTAGACATGACGGATGCTTTATTTATTATACGTGCCTGTTCAGTCTTGACGTTTACTCTGGCCCCGCCTCCTTCACAATCCAACGCTTGTCCTGATTGGTCGAGCAGCTCAGAGAACGGAATGAGGTAATTGAACAAGAGAAGCCACTCGCCCTGTCAAAGAACACACAGCGATATAGCTTAATCAGCACTGCTAAGCTGCTAAAACAAAACAAATAAATAAATAAATTTGTGTGGCACCTCTTCTTTGAGAGCAGAAAAGTCTAGTTTGGAGCCTTCTGGGATTTCTGGATACAAGCCTGCAGATAAATCAGTAACAATTAGGGGTGCGACGATACAGGAAATTCACGGTTCGGTTCCGTTCGATACTTTAGTCTCACTGTTCGACATTTTGTCGATACAAAGAAGAGAAATTTCCGTGCCCTTTTTAACTTGAATTCATTGAAATTAATTATAAATATTTGTTTAACCTCAAAAGTAGTTTTTAAATTAAACGTTGCTGAAACAGCAAGTTTCTCAGTGGATCTGCACTCGAAAATGCAGCCTAGGTAGAGTAGTCGAACACAGATCCACTGATCCTTCAACATAGAGCATCCTCAGAAGACAAGTTGATAAAATATATTTTAAAAATCTGTATTGTTCGATATATTGCGTGTATTAAACCTAAAGCACTGTATTGAACAGTTCGATACGGTACATGTGTTGTTGCACCCCTACAAATAATATATATGATCAGATTGATACGATGATCAGCAGCCTTCCCTCCTCCTCGATCTCAGGATTAAAATGAGTCACCATCTCTCACCTTTCTCCACGCCCCTCTCATAGCTGTCGAACAGAGTGTGCAGTCTGGCACAGTTATACATCACAAACACGCCTCCTCTGGGCCCTTTGGTTGACACGCCCCCTTCTCTCTGGACGTCCAGCGTCACCTAAACAAACGTCTGTCAATCATTCTGCAGAATCACTGACCTCTTGGCGGGTTTTAAGGATTGTTTGGATACAGAGAAGTGATGTTAATCTAGATATGCATCTGAAGAAATAAAGAACGTCAGGGATCCAGTTCACTCACGGGACTTGTGTGAACAGTTGACAGCAGCTCAAATCTGACCGTGGCAGAGGTCATCACCTTGATGATGTCATCCCACACCTGACCTACAAGAGACGTCTAATGCCAATCAGCTTTATTTTGCTTGCAGTTTCTCAACAGAATGCATCATTTACTTAGAGTTCATCAGTGAGAAATATATTAAACACACACGTAGCTGTGAACACACACACACACACACCTTCTACTTTATCTCCATATTTCATCTCTGAGGCTTCCTTCATCTGACCTTTTCTCAGCCTAGAAAAAATGAGAGCAGAGTTTTTAATACAGCTTACACTGACATTTTATTTAGTAATTTTGAGAAAACAGAGTTGCATAAAACTTGTTTTATAGAAAAAAAGCGATTAAGATTTAAAATATGCAAACATTTAAAAATAATTAAAGAATACGGGGGTGTCAAACTCATTTTCACCGAGGGCCACATGAGCGTTATGGTGGCCCTCAAAGGGCCAGTTGTAGTTAACTTTGACGTTTCATGTTCAACTTTGACTAAACAGTGTTTTAACATGACCTCTTTTAAACACTGATAAGAACTAAGAGTACACCTGACTAAATCTGAAATAAATGATACAGATATATTATTAAAAGTAAAATTAATAAAGTTTTACTCACTGATGAGAGTCTAGTGAGTAGCTGCTATCTTGAATTCTGAACTCTCCCACTTTCTGACAGGAAATTCCCAAGGATGATAAACATGCATTTTTGCACTTAATCATAAATTTACCACTGATATAATAATAATTTTCATACAAAGTAAAAAATAAAAATAAATAAAAATTGGGGGAGGGGCAGACCTTGAGTTTGGGCAGACCTTTTTGACACGTGGCCTAATACAAGAGGAGATGGATTTTATGAAAGAAAAATAAGATTTTTTTGTGTAACGATTTTTGAATTTTCAATTTAAGCTTCACACAAATGCAGCAAGTTGCAGGGATTTGTGCTTAAAGATATTTTAAAGATACTTCGACAACTAATAGGAGAAAAGTCCTGCAGGTAAATCTTACTTCATTGTGTCTGGTTCAACCTAAGCATTGAATTTATTAAAGGGATCCACGGTTAGTTGTAACATTAGACTTTATTTGATAAACATATATTTTAACTGTAAAATAAAGACTGTAAAAATACTGTAGGATGT